CTTTGACCTTGGGCACAACAACTTCTTACTCAACACATCTCCAGAGGCAAGGGAAACAAAAGCAAAAATGAATTATTGGGACCTCATCAAGATAAAAAGCTTCTGCATGGCAAAGGAAACAATCAGGAAAACTAAAAGGCAACCAATGGAATGGGAGAAGATATTTGCATATATCAGATAAAGGGTTAGTAACCAAAATCTATAAAGAACTTATCAAACTCCACACCCCCAAAAAACTAATCCAGCGAAGAAATGGGCAAAAGACATGAATAGACACTTTTCCAAAGAAGACATCCAGATGGCCGACGCATGAAAAGACGTTCAACATCACTCATCACCAGGGAAATACAAATCAAAACCACAATGAGATACTACATCACCACTGTCAGAATGGCTAAAAGTAACAACTCAGGCAATGACAGACGTTGGCAAAGATGTGAAGAAAGAGGAGTTCTTTTGCATTCCTGGTGGTAATGCAAACTGGTGCAGCTACTCTGGAAAACAGTATGGAGGCTTTTCAAAAAATTAAAAATGGAACTACCATATGACCCAGCAATTGCACTACTAGGTATTTATCCAAACGATACAGGTGTGTTGTTTTGAATGGGCACATGCACCCCAATGTTTATAGTAGTGCTATCTACAATAGCCAAATTATGGAAAGAGCCCAAATGTCCATTGACAGATGAATGGATAAGGAAGATATGGTATAGATATACATAATGGAGTTATTACTCAGCAACCAAAAAGAATGAAATCTTGCCTTTTGCAACAACATGAATGGAACTAGAGTGTATTATGCTAAGTGAAACTAGTCGAAGACAAATATAACTTCACTCATGTGGAATTTAGAATACAAAATAGATGAATATAAGGGAAGGGATGAATACAAAACAGGGAGAGGGACAAAACACAAGACTCTTAAATATAGAGAACAAACTGAGGGTTGCTAGAGGGGTTGTGGATGGGGGGATGGGCTAAATGGGCAAGGGGCATAAAGGAGAATACTTATTTGGATGAACACTGGGTGTTATACATAGAGGCTGAATCGCTGGATTCTACTCCTGAAATCATTATGATATGCTAACTAACTTGGATGTAAATTAAAAAAAGATTTCAGTGAGTTTAGAATCAAAGGGACATTGCTCAGAGATCACAATAGGATCACAGAACACTTCTTTGAGTAAGAGTTGCTTGAGTTGAATTATGAAGGATGAGTTGAAATGAACAAATGAAGTGGCACCTGGGTGGATCAGTCGGTTAAGTGTCTGACTCTTGATTTCAGCTCCGGTCATGATCTCATGGTTAATGTGTTTGAGCCCTGTATCAGGCTCCATGCTGACAATGCAGAGCCTGCTTGGGATTCTTTCTCCCTCCCTCTCTGCCACTCCCCCCCCCTCAAAATAAATCAACTTAAAAAAAAAAAAAAAGAAAAGAAATAGGAATGAACTAGTGAAGTTATGGTGTGAAAAGATAGATAGCCTTTTCAGGTGGAGGGAATTAACATGCTCAATGGTTGTGAGGTACATGGCATTTGGGGAAACAATGCACAGAGAGGAGGAAAGTAATATAAGAGCTTGAAAAGGCAGGGGTGAGATCGTGCACTCTTGTGGACCATGTTAAGGACTTTTGCTTTACCTCAGCGCAATCAAAAAGCATCAAATTATGTTAATCTGGAGAATATGTTTGGAACTGCCTTTTAAATATTAGGCTAACTTTTGTGTGAAGAAGAGATTTGGAGAAATGGATGTGGTTAAGTCAGAGCAGGATTCCAGGTGAAAATCGTTTGGACAAGATTACTAGATGAGATTAAACAGACACATGTCAATCTCAACGTATCCCCAAGCAAATCCATTTCTTCTAAATTTGTTTCTTTTCCTATTTTCATCATTTTGTGTGAAATAAAATGATTAGCCAAGAGATCTGGGCAAGTCATATAAATGAAATTGAAATCGAAATCATGAGAGTGGGTAACATAGTGGTAGAGGAGGTTTTAAGGAATGAACTTCCGGGAACATTTAACCCAAGCAAGAAAGCTAGCTCTTCCTTTTCTCCTATCATATCCAATTAATTACCAGGTCCCTTAGATTCTTTCTTTAAATTGTTTCTTGAGGGTGCCTGGCTGGCTCAGTCCATAGAGCACGTGGCTCTCTCATTTCAGGGTTGTGAGTTCAAGCCCCACGTTTGGCGCAAAGCTTACATAAAGTTTCTTGCATCAGTTTTCCCTAATTCCCATGCATTAGATCAGATCACCATCCCCAGAACACACAAAATTATTGCCTTCGTTGGCCATCCTGGCTCAAATTTTCCTTCCCTTCAATTCACCCTTAACACTAGGCACTAGAGTGCAAATGATGATCATACCATTCCTTAAACTTCTTCAGTGTCTTCTCATTGCAAAATATCCAAGTTCCCCCACAATGACTTGCTTACTTTTTCAGTCTCATTTCTTTTCTTACTACTTCTCCTTTGCCCTCTTTCACCAGGCCAGTGAACTAAAAAATATATATATGTATTTTTTTTTAAAGGAAGGCTTAACGCCCAGCGCAGGGCCCAGTGTGGGGCTTGAACTCACCACCCTGAGATCAAGAATCTCACACTTAACCGACTGTGCCACCCAGGTTTCCCCCATCCCCACAAAATAATTTTTTTTTAATTAAAGTATAATTGACAATGTTAGTTTCAAGTGTAGAACACAGTGATTCAACAATTCTATATGTTCAAGTGTAGCTGTCACCATACAACCTTATTAAAGTACCATTGACTATATTTCCTATATTGTACCTTTTATTCCCATGACTTCCTCCATAACTGTAAATCTGTGACTCCCACTTCTCCACCTATTTTGCCCATCCCCCCAATCTCTCCCTCTGCAACCATCAGCCAGTGGAGTACTTCTTCTTTCTTTCTTTCTTTCTTTTTTTTTTTTAAATAATGGACTTCATTTTTTTCTTGCCTTTAAGTCTTGCACAAACTATTCCCTCCACCTGGAACAATGCTCCCGGATTCAATGGGCCGGCTCTTTCAGTGTCTAGTTCCTCCTCCCGCCTCCCTCCTCCTGGGGCCCTGAGCTCTTTAAGGGCAGGGCGGTGTCTGGCTTGCGCCCCAAAACCTTCCCTACGCGGCCACGACAGCATCCTGCACGGCGTAGGGAGGAAAGGAGCCCCTAGGTCGTTCTGGCAGTTCAGCTACTCCAGCTCCTCTTTCCGAAGGGCGTCGGGCAGGTCAGAACCTGGGAGGAGGAGCCGGGCCACCCCGGGGCTGCGTTCTCCTGTCACGTCCGATGGATGCAGCGTCCGTGCTCGGCCGACGAGAGCCATCGCTGCCCTGGCGCGAGAGTCTCTTAGAATCTCAGCCCTTCACGCGGGAATTCCGTTTACTACAGCTGCCGACGCTGGTGGTTTGTCGCGGAAGTTCGGGGCCCGCAGTCCATTTGGGTTTCTTAGCAGGTCTGAGGGTGGAGTCTTGGTGTCAGGCTCGGGACGTTGGGCATTATGGGAGTCGTAGTTGAGGCCACCTGGATTTTGGCATGGTCTCGGGGCATTCTGGGAGTTGTAGTGTGTGGGCCACAGTGTAGTCCTAGGAAGTGTCGTCGTCCCAGGCCCCCTGGCTCTGGCGCTGCGTACGCAGGTGCCTGGCATTCTGGCAGTAGTAGTGCGTGAGGGGAGCGCCTCAGCCCTCGCGGGGGAGGCCGCGGTAGGTCTTCGGCAGTGTGGCCTTCCGAGGCCCGCGGGCTCTGGCGCTGTGTGCGCAGGCGCGGGGCGTTCGGGCATTGGTGGTGGGTGATGGGAGCGCCTCTGCCCTGGCCCCGCGGCCGCGGTGGGTCCTGGGAAGTGTAGTCGTCCGCGGCCCGGCCTGGTCGCGGGGTCTGGTGTCTGAGGCTGTGGCGGGTAGAGTCCCTCCCCGGACGCGGATCCGAAAGTCTGGCTCACTTGGGCCCAAGATACTTAAAGCGGCCCCCTCTGTCCGAGATCCCCTCCAGGTGGCCCGGGCCGAAGACCACCTGCAGCTCCCCGGCTAAAGGCGCAGAGGAAACGCGCCGTCCTGTGACCCCGTTACAGGAGGCGGTGCCGGGGTGCGGGTCGGGTCTAGGCTCCCCGGATCCCACACCGTGGCTGGGAGGGACTCTCTTTGGCGGCCCCGGTCCTTTGGGTGACAAGGAAGGGTGGGTGGGTGGTTGTGCCGCGGTGGGAGTCCGCAGCCGGTGGGGCCCGGTCGCTCCGGGACGGCCCCGCGCGCTCAGGGCTGCCTTTTCTCGCTGCCAGCTGTGCCGTTTCCCCCTGCGCTCCTCGGTCCCGCCGCGAGCCATGTCTCAGGTGAGCTGCGCCTTTTTTCTTTCCCAGGGCATCTGTGTGCTTCAGAACTGGGGGACAGAGGCTTGCTTTCTCCGGAAGCGCCCTGCTCTGGTCCTCCCCTTCGGGCACCTGGACCTGAGGGGACGTGGGAGGGTTGACGGGAAGCTGTCCGGTTGTGGGCGGGTTTCGGCCCTGGGGGAAGGTCGGGAGCCGGCGGGGGAGGGGGCGGGTGTGTTAGGTCACTTCTTCCTCCTTTCCCCAGCGTTAGAATGAGGAGTGCTTTACTCTGTCCCTCGCTCCAGCTACCCCTTTCTCAGTCGTACATATTAAAGTTTGTTTATTTTTGAGAGAGGGAGAGAGGAAATCCCAAGCAGGCTCCTCGTTGTCAGCGCAGAGTCAGAAGTGGGGCTCCATCCCAGGAACCGTGAGATCATGACCTGAGCGCAAATCGGGAGTCAGATCCTTAACCGGCTGAGCCACCCGACTGCCCCAATCATATTCTAATTAAGCATGTACTTTCAGCACCTGTGTCAGTGGTCTCAAAGTGGAATTCCTGGACCAGCAGTATCAGCATCACGTGAGAACTTACTAGAAACGTATAGTCATGAGCTCCCTTCCCATACCTTCTGAACCAGAAACTCTGGGTGTGCAGTTCAACAGTCACTCCCAAGTGACCCTGATGCGTGACCCATCCTGGGTGTGGGGGGTTCAGCTGGGGCAAACAAAATCTCTGGCAGTTGTTTCACAGAGGTGGGGGTAAGAAGGCCAACTGTTTGATTTAGTTCCTGTTTTTAGTTCTACTTCTCTGCCCTACATACATTGTCTCATGCTTGTCTCCAAATCCAGATGCTCTCCCAAATTTGCTGGGGAGTCCAGTTTCCATCTGTGCTGCAGATTCCGTTGTTGAGAAAATAGCTTCCTTTACTAGTCAGTAACCTTTATCGCTTAAAACTTTTTTTTTTTTAACTGTAAGATACAACTGCCATGCATCTGGAGCTCTTACTAGTTTGACCCCTTTTAAAATTTCTGCTCATGCTTAATGGTTGTGTGGGTTACTGAAGCAGTGCAAAAGCAGGCCGTGAAGTGGGGGCACATTATTACTCCTAACCCTGAGGGGAAAGCTTTTGGTTCCATTCTGGGATGGGGGACATGTCTTCCTTGGGTAGTCTTTCTTACTGCGTATCCTTGTTCTGTGACACTGCTTACATCCCGGGTAAGTTTCATAGCCCTTTTTTCAGGAATGGCGGTAACCGTGTTGCACTTGAGTGCATGCCCCTTTTTAAAGGTACTGCTGCTGTCTGCTGTAGCCGGTTGTTACCATGAAGATATTCTTGCCGGATCTCATTAAAATAGACTGCTATCAAGGAAAATATACACTGCCTACTGAATACAAAGGGACTGTCTTTGTTACTCATTAAGTGTTCTAAGATTCTAAGAACTTGAACAACAAAAGGCAGAGATCCATGTTGTTCATGTGTATAATCCTTTATCTTTCACAAAATTGTAAATTATGTCAGGACAAATTGTATTTATTTTTTTCCTTTTCTCCAATTATGCAATAAAACAAAACAGCCAGGCTCTTACTAATTAGAATTCTGAAAACCCCCATTGCTACTCTGTGCATACACTGTCTACTCTCCATGGTGAGACTCATTTCACTCCTAATCAGGGCCTTTGGGAGCATGGGTGCTGGTTGTGCAGATATCTGTATATCATTTCAGGGGTCAGTGACATTCAGAGATGTGGCCATAGACTTCTCCCAGGAGGAGTGGGAATGGCTTCAGCCTCCTCAAAGAGATTTGTACAGACATGTGATGTTGGAGAACTACAGCCACCTGGTTTCACTGGGTAAGTGTATTCCTTCTTATCTCCTCTAAGTCAGAATTTAAACTTGGGGACGGCTGTTGTAAATCTTGGTTTTCTGACTTAATATTCCCAAGGGAGGTATGTTAGTTTTCTTTTTGTTTGTTTTTTACATTCATTCATTCATTATTTTAGGGAGAGAGAGGGAGAGGGAGTGTGTGAGTGGGGAGGGGCAGAGGGAGAAGGAGGGAGAGAATCCTAAACAGGCTTCACGTTCAGCAAGGAGCCTAATGTGGAGCTTGATCCCACAAGGCTGGGATCTTGACCTGAGCTGAAATCAAGAGTTGGGCGCTCAACTGACTGAGCCACAGATGGCCCTCTTTTTTAACTTTTTAAGATGGATTATAAGCACTGAATCCTAAGCGTTCATGTTTACATCTGGTAGATATTTCTTTTTCTTTTTCTTTTTTTTTTTCTTAATGTTTTTGTTTATTTTTGAGACAGAGAGAGACAGAACATGAGCAGGGAAGGGGCAGAGAGAGAGAGACACAGAATCGGAAACAGGCTCCAGGCTCTGAGCCATCAGCACAGAGCCCGTTGCGGGGCTCGAACTCACAGACTGTGAGATCATGACCTCAGCCGAAGTCGGACACTCAACCGACTGAGCCACCCAGGTGCCCCAAGATATTTCTTTTTCAAAAAATTTTATTTATTTATTTTTAACATTTATTTATTTTGAGAGAGAGTAAGTGAGCAGGGGAAGGGCAGAGAGAGAGGGAGAGAGAGAATCCCATGCAATCCATGCTGTTAGCGCCGAGCCTGACACAGACACTTAACTGACTGAGCCACCTAGGTGCCCCTAAAGATTTTATTTTTATTTTTTATTTATTTTTAATTCTTTTTTAACGTTTGTTTATTTTTGAGACAGAGAGAGACAGAGCATGAATGGGGGAGGGTCAGAGAGAGGGAGACACAGAATCTGAAACAGGCTCCAGGCTCTGAGCTGTCAGCACAGAGCCCGACGCAGGGCTCGAACTCACGGACCATGAGATCATGACCTGAGCTGAAGTCAGCCACTCAACCAACTGAACCACCCAGGTGCCCCTAAAGATTTTATTTTTAAGTAATTTCTACATGTAGTGTGGGGCTCAAACTCACAACCCTAAGATCAAGAGTTGCATGCCCTACCAACTGAGCCAGCCAGGTGCTCCTACATCTGGTATTTCTTTAAAAATTTTTTTAAAAAATATTTATTTTTGAGAGAGAGAGAGAGTGCGTGTGAGCATGAACAGACAAGGGGCAGAGAGAGAGAGAGAGAGAGAGACAAAGAGAGACAATCCGAAGCAGGTTCCAGGCTCCGAGCTGCCAGCACAGAGCCTGATGCTGGGCTCGAACCCATGAACTGTGAGATCATGACCTGAGCTGAAGTCGGATGCTTAACTGACTGAGCTACCCAGGCACCCTTGGCATTTCTTTTAATGGCTCCTCTTCTAGGGACTGAAGGACTGATTTTGAATTTATTTCCTTTTCTGCAAGCAGGTCTTAACATTTCTAAGCCATATGTGGTTTCCTTATTGGAGCAAGGGAAAGAGCCCTGGTTGGAGAAAAGAGGTGTGAGAAGAGATCTGTTTTCAGGTGAGTAAGTTAATAACAACCCAACTAATCAATGAGAATGCAATGCTTTTTTGTATGTTGGTTGGAAAGTTTTCCCTTAAAGATAGCAGAGGTATGGAGACTATGAAGTCTTGCCCACACAGCTCCATAAGGAACCACGTTCACACCCACTTACCAGTCGGCCTTTAGTTCTCATCTTATGCTTTCCCCGCTTTCTTACAAATAGATGTGTGCTTTCTTTCCATCGTTAGCTCTGTCTGGGCTCTGGATTTCAATTCTTTTTGAATTCTCCTCCCTGTCTTTCTTGAAATTGACCTCTGTTTCTGTTGCCTAAGTTAAAAGGTATATATTTTTTCTGTGTACTACTGTTCCAGTTAGCCACCTTGGAAAGACTGATTCGTTGCTTTTTGGTTACCTGATGGCTTTATTCGTTCACTCACACATTCCTTTAATGTTTATTTAAAAGACTTTCTCTTAGGTGCTACAGAGAGTAGAAAATATAAAAAAGTATAATAACCACCAAAGAAATTATAGTCTAGTGAGATATAATAGGTCTGTAAATAATTTCATTAGATGTCCTCAAATTGTCAGTTCAGCAGTAAGGAAAAACGAATTCCTATTTGTTTAGGCCCAGATGATTTGGATAGGGATAGTAGTAATAGAAGCAGAAAAGACAGGAAAGAGATCAGTTTTGGAGAGTAAGTGCTGAATTAGTAAGGAGATGTGCTTGGTGTGAGTAGAGGATGGTATTTCCAAGTGAAGAGATGCATAGGCTGTTGGAATAGATCACGGAAAACAGTTCAAGTTGGAGATGTAGATGTGGGAATTTTAACACTCAGAAGCAAAAATTAAAGCCCTGAGATTGAGCAGTGCCTGAAAACCTTCACCTTCAGTTGACAGTAGAATGGCTGGTGAAGCTCTTTAAAAACAAATGGCCGTGCCCTGCCCTGGAAGAGTCTATGGAGAGTAGACTTGAAGATCTATGGAGCCTAAATTCTTTATTTATGCAGGGTTCTGTAAGTTCTTTCGTTGATTCTGAAACGAACCTCTCCTGGAGGTACACTGACCTTCCACTGAGATAACCAGAGACTGCCTCTGTGTGCCGGAAGCAGCAGCTTGGAAGGACTGGTGAGGGAGCAGGAGCAGGTGTCAGGAACACTGAGCTCCATCTGTCGGGAGAGCGGTGGTTAATTGCATGTGCTGCAGACTTCCAGGAGGGTGTGGAAGGTACTGACGTGGGCTGAAGTCATGAGTGGAGCAAATGCAGGGAGAGTTCTTCATTTAAGTATGAGCTGAAGAACAGTGTCCTCTTGTACATGTAAAAATAATAAAACCAATAAAACTGTGTACAGGGGAAGGGAGGGAAAAATTGCCGCTAGTCCCACTACTTCCTCCCTCCCTCGCTTCCACCCATCTCTGTGCCCGGCGTGGGGCTTGAACTCATGACGTCAAGGATCGAGAGTCTAATGCTCTCCCGAGGGGCGAAGTGCCCCTCCGTTACCTTAATACAGCTTGTCCAGTTTTTGTGTGTTCATTCTAGTACCTCTGTCTCCCTTTTTTTTTTTTTTCAAACAGAGTAGGATTTATTGGTGGCACAAAGGTGGGGGGCAGTGGTGCTGAGGTTCTCATGAACACAGGGCTTGCCATGTGTCCAGGGGGCCACGATTAGGGATGTATTTGACCCCATAGTTATTTGGGATGAACTGTTTTTTCAGTCATCATATCTTCAAATTCATGCGCATTAGAGTTAGTGAAGCCCCACTTCTTGGAGATGTGGCTCTTCCGGCAGCAGGGAACTTGAACTTGGCCCTGTGTACGGTGCCAATCACATGCTCCTTATTCTGCAGCTTGGTATGGATGGACATGATTTGGCCTGTGCGGACCCTGGCCATGGTGCCCTGGGGCTTTCCAAAGGTCCCCCCATGTGCCTGTCTGGAGCCCAGATTAGGGATAGCATGAGGTCAGACGTGAAGGTCCACTGGAAAGGACTGCCTCCTCTAAGGCAACTCACAGAAGCAACAGGCTGCATATACGACTGAGGAGGCTGCACATCAGGCCCCATGGGGAGACAGCACAGTTGGCTTAACTGGCTGCAGTCCAGTACATTTTTGAAAGGTGAAATATCACACAGAAATAATGCATAAACATAAATCTGCAGCTTAACCAATTACTAAGACACCCATGTAACCACCACTCAGGTCAGTAAATAGAACACTGCCAGGTCCCTAAGAACTTTCTGAGTGCTCACTCCTGCCCCCACTCAAAGGCAGCCTTCTCTTTAATGGGAGTAACTTAGTTTTCTTTATAGCTTTGTCATCTGTGTCTGTAATCACTATAGTTTAGGTTTGTATGTTTGTGAACTTTACATAGAGGGGTTCATAATGTATATGTTGTGATTTGCTTCTGAAAAGTACTTTTAAGATTTATGCATTTTGCATATTACCCTAGAGGTCGTTTCATTGTACAGCTAAGCCTTCCCCCATTTATTCTATTATTGAGGCCTTCTTGGGTTGTTTGCGTTTTAGGGCTGTCGCAGGCAGTGTTACTATTGTCCCTGTATCCTGGCACGGGTTTCCTGGGGTGATATTTAGGGCTGGAATCGCTAGGTCAGAGGACAGTGACCCTCCTTCACATTATTAGCTAATGCCAAAATGTTTTCCACGGTGCTTTTACTGACTTATGTTCTCACAAACACCGTACGTGGGGTCCTCTTGTTCCCCAAACTCACCAATGCCCAAAAGTTCGGCACCATAATATTCAACTGTCAGAAGAGTGTGCAGTGGTAGCTTGTGGCTTAAGCTTGCATTTCTGTGTCCTCCTCGTTAGGATAGTGGTGAGTGTCCCCGCCTGTCATAAACTTGCATTTCTCTGATTACTAATGTGGTTGAGCACCATTCGGTGTGTTTATGGGATATTTAGATACCGTCATTTGTGAAGTGCCTCTTGAAGGTTTTTGCTCATGTATTGGATGACCTACCTTTTTCTTACCGATTTGTAGAAGCTACATATCTCAGATTCAGATTCTTTGCTAATTATTGTCACTCACTGCAAACATCTTCTCTCACATGTGATCTACTTTCCCCCTTAGTAACTTTTTTTGATGAATGGAAATTCTTAATTTTAGTGTGGTCAGACTTACCAATCTTTCCCTTTATGGTTGGACTGTTTAAGAAACTGTTTCTTACCATGAGGTCATAATGAAGACATCTTCCTGTATTTTCTCTTAAAAAGCCTGGTCTTTATGCCATTCACATTTAGGTCCATAGCCTATTTTGAGCTTATTCTTGTGCGTCATGTGAGTTACTCGTCAGTTTTGATCCCTTCTGCGAGCAGATCCAGTTCTCATAGCACCATACACTGATGTGTCTGTCCTTTCCTTTTGTTGTCTTCAGTTTGTCATAACTTAAATACCATTTTTTGTGTATGTTTCTGGGTTCTCTGTTCTTCAGTGAATCTCTCTTTTTCTATCCTCGCATACATCTATTCAGTCTTAGTCATGGATTTAATAATGGATAACATTTTACTGTATTTGCCTTACGGCACCCTTTTTTTGCTGAATAATTTAAAAGTAAATTATAGGGGCACCTGGGTGGCTCAGTCAGTTAAGCGTCTGACTCTTGATTTCGGCTCAGGTCATGACCTCATGGTTTGTGGGTTTGAGCCCTGCATCGGGCTGTGTGCTGTCAGCATGGAGCCTGCTTAGGATTCTCTCTCTGCCCCTTTCCTGCTTATGCTGTCTCTCTCTCTTTCAAAAGAAATTACATTAAAAAAAATTTTTTTTTAATAATAAAAAAAGTAAATTATAGACATCTCAACATTTCACTCTACAGTACTTCACTCTCGATGAATAAATGGGACATTTCCTACATGAGCAAAATGTCATTTTTCATACCAAAATAACAGTTTTGCCTAGTATTTTTAAAATTATTTATTCATATAAGTTTTTAAATTTTTGGGGGGGAGAACGTGAGTGAGCGAGCACACACTGCAGGGCAGGGACAGAGAGAGGGAGAGCGGGTGAGTTGCCAGCAGGCTCCAGCCTCCACACTGAGCCCGATGCAGAGCTCGATCCCATGACTGTGAGATCATGACCTGAGCCAAAATCAAGAGTCAGTTGCTTAACTGACTGAGCCAATCCAGGTGCCCCTAGTATTTTTTTTAAGTGCACTGTCCATACATAAATGCGTCACAAGTGCGTGCTGGTTGTCCTGCCCTGCAGGATAATGAAACGTTTCTGTTTCTCTGTATGTCCTGTAACTTTCATTGTAATGTATTCATTTTGATATTTGAAGACTTTGGGTCTTGTTTAAGTCACATTGAGATGTTAATTTTATTTAAGCAAGTTTGAAGCCATCAGTTCTAACCCCTCTCCTATGTATGCGGCTCCGGGACAGCCCTGTCTTTAAAGGCTTTGTGGGTCTGTTGTACTTGTCTTGCATGTGCACCTCCTACTGGCCTTTCCGAACTTGCGTGGTTTGTTCCCCTTTGTTTCCGTTTTCACAGTTTCTAGTATGCGATGCAGGGTCAGATCCATGCACGTGCAACTCAGGGATGAGCCCAGGATTTCATACACAACTTTACGGGAGCACTTTCCTGAGCTACCTCTCCTACACGTTTTGGCTCCCAGGCCCCCCTCTTTCAAGTCTTCTGGGTAGAAAGGCAGACCTTTAGTTTCCCCTCTGCTCTGTATTTCCTGCAACTGTGTCTGCCTCTGCAGCTGAGTAACAAGGAGACAGGGAGAAAAAGAATAAAGATGGGTGGGATCCCTGTGCTCTTGGGAACACGGATTTTTCTGCTGAGAGAGAAAACTCCTTTCGTAGAGTTTTAAGAGCCTGTATGGCCACCACTGCTGCTAGATGCCTTGGGGTTAGGCAGGAATGGGAATTGAACAGACAAGATAAGATTTCTCTCTGACTAGTATAGACCCTCTTTCCCATTCCTCAGACCAGAAATAGAGGCTTCTCTGGGAGCTCTTTCTCCTCATACCTACTGCCCAGTTCCTGGTTTCATGCTGCCTTTGG